TGGTCAGGTACTAGAAACTCTCACAAGGAGAGCGAAAGGCACTGTGAGGAATCCTTTACCGAGCATCCTTAGTCAAAACTTTCGCACACATAATGGGTATTCTATTTCCACAAACTCACTGTGAAGTGTGAGCTGCCTTTGAGGAATCAGAGATCTAAGGAGGACTAAATTCATTGCACAAAGCCATAGTTCTGTCAAGTAACATAGGAGCAGGCACGTGACAGTGTTATTTCCCTGGGGGAGCAGTCTTAGTGTTAGTTTAGCTTCTGGTGTGTGCCATCCATCAAGCCATCACCAGATTCTACCCTGCATCTCCACACCTCACACCTTTCCACCTGCACGGAGCACTCTTCTGCTCCACAGCAGGACCCATCTGCTCAGCTCTTACAGCCATAGGCAAATCACCAGCTCCTTCTCACCCCGCTTCTGTGGAAGGATGGAGTCGAGGGAGGAGTCTGACTTGTTCCAGCAATGGATGGGAAATGGAAAGGAAGCTGTACATCCTAAATTTAAAAAGAAACCTAATTTGGTGCTTTCTTGGTTTGGGAAAGTTACTTGTATCTCTTTGAGCCATCATATTTTTTTTTTCATCTGAGTTATTTATAACAATAAAGAAGCCAATTTGCAGTTAATTATTACAAAAGTAATTATGAGTAGTATGGCCATCACAGAGACTAAACAAATGTATCTAAAGAGCCTGGCCTCTATTAGATATTTAATTCATACTCCCTTCCCTGGCACCTCAACTCTTTGAAACTTTTCTGTGAGAGAAGCAAGATGTATTGTAGACTTTCTGCCTGACATGAGTACAGATGACAGCCATCTATTCCAGCATCTGAAAGGCCAAAGTAGAGCTAGTTCATTGGCATATGATGTAATTATTGCCAGTTTTAGTTGTAGTTTACAAAGAATTGTTCATAGACTTTCTCTTCCTTTAGTGACATCAGTAACCCTCACCAGCCACTTATACTAGAGTGTGAATAAGGTTGGAGATATTTCCCCTCCATGCTGATTTTTGAGAAGATGAGAAAAATGACATCATACCAGGCTCCCAGCATCTAGGGGAGAAACTAACCCCATCAACTCAAGAGCACACCCTCTGCCATTGGCTTAGTGTTCCTTCTCCCAGGGTTTACCAGCCGGGAAAGCTTTTGTGCAAGATGAAATGAACATTCTCAATAAACAAGGGATAATTACTGTGGATATCCTCTGGGCAAAACTATGTGGATTCCTTGGTTAAAAAAAATACATCTTGCCAGGCACTGGTGGCTTGTCATCCTAGTTACTCAGGAGGCTGAGATCTATGAGGATCATGGTTCCTGCCCAGGCAGGAAAGTCTGTGAGACTCTGCTCTCCAATTAACTGCCAAAAATCTGAAAGTGGAGCTCTGCCTCAAGTGTTCCAGTGCTAGCCCTTTGAAAAAAAAGCTCAGGGACAGTGCCCAGGTCCTGAGTTCAAGCCCAGGACTGGCACGTGTGTGCACCTGTTTGTACCAGCACACACACAAACCTTACGCTTGTGCAGAAACTTGTCTGTATATCCCCAGAAATCTTAACAAAATTGAAGATAATAATTACAATTAGAGTTTAATTAGGGTGCACTTTAGAAAAGAAATACATGATAGAAATAGAAATTGAGCCTTTGATGGAATGAATGGTTTATCCAGAAAGGTTAATTTTTCAACATGTAAATATTAAGATTGTATGTCTTTAATTCCTACATCTTTGTGTAAAAAAAACAAACCTTCTGCTGGGCGCTGGTTGCTCACACCTATAATCCTAGCTACTCAGAAGGCTGAGATCTAAGGGTCACGGTTCAAAGCCAGCCTGGTCAGGAAAGTCTGTGAGACTCTTATCTCCAATAAACCACTCAGAAAACTGGAAGTGGTGCAGTGGCTCTAGAGGTAGAGTGCTTGCCTTTAGCTGAAGAGCTGAGGGACAGCGCCCAAGCCCAGAGTTCAAGCCCCATGACTGACCAAAAAAAAAAGAAAAAAGAAAAACAACCTTCTTTCTCTTCTGCACTCATACCACAATCACCAACACAGAAGATCTGTGACCCCAAAAGGTGTGACATTTTCTCCCTACCAGCAACAGCTCTGACAAAATCTACCTGGAGAGCACGCCAGGGCTTCCTCTTTACATGCCACCGGTAAGCTCCAGGTTGTCCTACCCATGCTCTGGACAGGTTAGCCACAATGCGGATTTCCTACAACCCCCTCTATGGGTTTAATTAACTTGCTGTGCACCTCACAGAACTCAAGGAATGATAGGTTTATTATCAAGATGAGGAGATGAAGAGGCATGGAGGGAGGGGCCTAGCTTAGCTTCCATGTCCTCCCTGGATGCAACACCTCCAGAATCTTTGACTTCATGGCTTAGACATGGTTGAGGCAAAGACAACCATGTGCAAAATGTGATTGGATAAAGACTATGACTTAAGGCTTAAAGACTGAGAGGGCTGTGAGGATTAGGTCAATGGGAGTGTATATTTAGCTAACCTGGGACCCTGGGTTGGATACTGAGCACCAAAACAAAGTATTACAAAAGATGGGGAGGGAAGCCAGGCACCTATGGCCCACACCTGTAATCCTAGCTACTCAGGAGGCTGAGATCTGTGAATCAGATTGGAAGCCACTCTAGGTGGACAAGTCCATGAGATTCTTATTAACCAGAAAAGAGCTGAAAACGGAGCTGTGGCCCAAGTGGTAGAGTGCTAGGCTTGAGCAACAATAAAGCTCAGGGAGCTGCACACTGGTGGCTCACACCTATAATCCTAGCTATTCTGCAGGCTGAGATCTGAGGATCGAGGTTCAAAGCCAGCCTGAGCAGCAGGGCAGCAAAGTCTGTGAGACTCTTATCTTCAATCAACCACCAGAAAACAGAAGTGGTGCTGTGGCTCAAGTGGTAGAGCACTTGCCTTGAGCTGAAGAGCTCTGGGACAGTGCCCAGGCCCAGAGTCCAAGCCCCACAACTGACCAAAAAAAAAAAAAAAAGAGCTCAGACAGGGCCCGTACTCTGAGTTCAAGCCCCAGGAATCACACACACACACACACACACACACACACACACACACACACACACACACACACACACACACACACACACACACACACACACACACACACACACACACACACACACACACACACACACACACACAGTGGAGAAAAACCAAAACCAATCAGGCCTATCTGCTCAGCCTTTTCTAGATCTTTCCAAGAAGCATTCTTTCCTCCAGGGTATGGGAGGACCCTTCTAAAATATTGGTTTTCTGACCTACTATCTGCGGGTTTCCAAACAGCTAGCTTGAAGATAAAGCTAGAGAAAGATTAGAATTTCTAAGACCTGCCTTAGGGAGGGAGAGGTGAGACTAGCGGAAGTAAAACAACAACAACACGTACACACACCTTGTATCATACTCTAAACTGAGGGAGAGCTACCACTAGTCACATAAACAAAACAGTAACTGGCTTAAAGCAACCTTCAATTTTAAAAAGAATGGGATTATGAAACATTCTTGTTAAGAAATAAGGCTTTAACCTTTCCCAGCTGCAAACGGATGTTTAGTCCATTTCTTCCTCTTTGCTTTCTGCAGAACACTAAAACTTCACACAAAAACTGCTTCATTTCTTTACAAGTAATAAGATCATCAGAGAACTCAAATTAAAGTCTAGGGTGACAACTAAGTCTCAAGAGTCTGAGTCACTGAGGAAGACTTCCAGTAAGCCTACAATTAGAAACCTGTTGGCTTTTATTTTCTTTCTTTTTTTCCTAACTGCCTCTACCTGAATTCTGAGACTGTCTGTGGTCAGAGAAGCTCAGGATTCCTGCAGGGGAAGCTAAGAAATAAAAGCAATGATCTATATAGCTTTCCCCACCCCGAAGAAGTACTTTAGCAAACGAAGGGAAAAGAATCTCAGAGATCCAAAACTGTCTGAGTCAATTTTTGACTTAGCTTCTTCTAAAGTAAAGCAAGCAGCTTTTCATTGTATGAAATTTTATGACCATCCTCGATAATCTTAAAGAAATGAAATTACTTATAGCTGGACTAGGAAATCTTTGCTTTTTAAAAACAGGTTGAAATCAATAATTGACACAAGACAGCAATTTTCCATCCACAAATGGTTGGACTCCAAACTTCAGGATTCAGAGAATGCTAGGACATGCCCCAGCTACTTACACAAACTTTCCAATAGCTGAGAAAATATCTTGTGAATCCTCAAAAGCATCTTAGAATTGGCCCTTTCTAGCTAGAAAGTTTTTGGTTTGGTTTTGTGCCAGTACTGAGGCTTCAACTTATGGCCTTGGAGCTGTCCCTTAGCTTTTCCGCTCAAGGCTAGTGTCCTATCATTTGAGCCACAGCTTCACATCCAGCTTTTTGGTGGTTAATTGGAGATAAGAGTCTCATGGACTTTTCTTCCTAGCCTGGTCGCAAACTACAGTCCTCAGATCTCTGCATCCTGAGTAGCCATCCCAGCCCCTGGCTTTCTAGCAAGTTATTATAACTGCTTCTATTATAATCACCTCTAGTGATTTGTTTGAGTTGAATTAAGAGCAAAATGACACAAGACCAAAGCTAGGCTACACCAACCCTACCTGGCACAATTTCTGATTTAGTAAAAGTTACGTGATCTGGCAGCACAGTTGCTGTTAAGCCCTCTTGTAGTGAGGGGATTCAAATTTACTGGCTATCAGTCCTTCCTCTAGATGACCCCAAGTCACCCCAGTGCTTGTGGAAAGCAAGCAAGGTACAAATCAATTACTTAACAAGCAAAATGTCTAACAATTCACTTTTCATCCCAAAGCCATTTTAGATTCTGAGTAAGTTAGTCAGAGAAGAAAGCACTGGCTTGCTTGTTTGAAAACTTAGTGTATGACTTCTTGGAAGAGATGAATCAGATAATTTATAAAGAAACCAAACCAAAACTCTTCTCCAGCAGTGAGGCAGGTGACTGGGAAGACAGCACTGGGTCAGAATTCAGGAAAGCAGGAAATACTCACGATCATTATAAACGTGCCCAGGAACTCGGAGAGTGTCTCCTTAGCCAGGCTGCTCTTCAAGGCCAGTCTCTGCGTAAAGGTCTTCTTCTCCTGTTCCTTGTCAGGCTGCATCTTGGGGATCCTGTGAGCCACACACTCCGGCGCTGGTATCTGCTGCTGCTGCTCTTCACCTTCACTAGCACATGCAGAGACTTAAGACAACTTAAATAACTCCTCACAGATTCCTGGCGGTGTCTGATGAGATTTCTCTGATTATGCAAATGCCTTCCCAGTTAGGGCTGGTGCCATTCTCGGCTGTGTTTGTTTCAATTAGAGAGTTACAACCTGAAGTCCTTAATCTTTGTATTTGTGTGTGTGTGTGCCCAATAGATTAATCATTACCTTTATGCTCTAGGTATTTTTTCTTTGCTGAGTTTTTTGGTTTCCAGGAGATGAGAAAAGAGATGTTGTGCAGGTTGTGTTGCCAAACCACAGCGATAGGCCCTGTTCCAGGAGAGATTTACATGTTACCCAATTGCAAGGCTTCTGCTTTTTGTTTTGTTTTGTTTTATTTTGTTTTTTGGTCCTATTCAGAAGTGGGTGGTTGGGGGTATAACTTGGAATTTTCAAATCAGATATGAATACCTCTAGTGTAAAGATTCTTTACAAAAGAAGAATTTTATTTGTTTGTTTTTTAATCCAAGCTGGAGAAAAATGAAGAAAACATTAGTTCATTGTTCTACCAAAGTTAATCTCTGTCTTTTTTTTCTTCCCCAGGGAGAGGGGTGGTGGTACTAGTTCCGGGGCTTGAACTCAGGGCCTGGGGACTGTCCCCCGGGTTTCTTTTGCTCAAGGCTAGCATTCTATCATTTGAGCCACATCTCCACCTCTGGCTTTTTCTCTGTATGTGGTACTGAGAAATCGAACCCAGGGTTTCATGCATGCTAGGCAAGTACTCTACCACTAAGCCACATTCCCGACCCCTGAGGGTTTTTTTTCCCCTCAAGGCTGGTGCTCTACCCCTTCAACCATAGCCCACTTAAGGCTTTTTGGGGTCAATTGGAGATAAGAGTCTCATGAACCAGGTGCCAGTGGCTCACATCTGTCATCCTAACTACTCAGGAGGCTGAGATCTGAAGATCACAGTTCAAAGCCAGCCCTGGCAGGAAAGTCTATGAGACTCTCATTTCCAATTTACCACCAGAAAACCAGAAGTGGCGCTGTGGCTCAAGTGGTAGAGCACTTGCCTTGGGCTGAAGAGCTCAGAGACAGTGCCCAGGCCCAGAGTTCAAACCCCGCAACCACCAAAAAGAAAAAAGAGTCTCATGGGCTTTCCTGCCCTGGCTTTCTTTGAACTGTGATCCTCAGATATCAGCCTTCTGAGTAGGCTAAGATGATAGGTGTGAGCCACTAGCGCTTAACATCCTTAAAGACAAGGGATGTATTTGGCACTAGCTTCTTTGTTCAGCCAGAGAACTCAAGCCTTGTTTTACAAAGCTGGTATGTGTGTGTGTGAAGAAACAGAACCCAGTAGTAGTTTCAAAATGCCTAGGCAGTCCCATGAAATGAATACCCACGCCGAGCACTCCCTTTCCAAGGCTCCCACAGAGATTTGGGCCAGGCCAGGCCCTCCCCTACCTTTGCAGGAGGCCCTCAGTCATTTCCAGCTGAGGAGGTAGGCAGCAAGGAAGGAGAGGAAGATGTGGGGGAAATTGCTGGAAAGATCCCAATGGCAGCAGACACCACCTAATCTCTAGGTAAAATGTAGAATTTAAATCTCAGAAATGTTATCAGACTTTCTGGCATCTACACGGTTAGAGACTCAGGAGACACCCCAGCATTTTGGCCTTTACCTCTCGCTTAAATGATCATGGCCACTATTGTGTTTGAAGAGTTTCTTCTGACCACATAGTTCCCCAAATCCCAGTGGACAGACCAGAGAAACAGGACTTCATTACTGCAACCCAGGTAGCAATACACAAGGGTTGTTCTGAGTTTGGTCGTTCATTCATCTGACAAGTATTTATGGCATAATCATTGTGTGCTAAGCACTGACTCTCAGCAAAAGCACACAAGATTCTCATTCTTCTCGGAGCCTAGGAGAGCGAGAGAGCAAGAGAGTGAGAGAGAGAGAGAGAGAGAGGAAAGAGAAAGAGGGAGAAAGAGTGAAAGAACAAAGAGAAGGATGTAAGAGAACGAATCATGGATGTGCTGAGGTACAGTCACCAGTGAGATCCATTCTATAGAGAAAATGCTAGATTCCTATGAGCAAATACAAGAAGGTATTACCTTGGCAGAGAGATCTCGGAAGGTGTTTTCAAGGAAATCCTGTCAGAACTGAGATCAGCTGAGACGCTATAGACTGGAGGTGAACGTGGTGAAATGGGGAAGGAAGTGTTTGTACAAAAGTTTTGAGGGGCAGGGTGGGTCAGCTAGATACTTATCGCAGAATGAAAGCAACACCTACTCTCGTGCTGGTGCAGAATGAGCCTGGAGCTGTGGGCGGGACGGGCGAGATCAGACCATACTGAGCCTTGTAAATTGAGTTTTAGGGTTAGACCTAAGCAGTTTAAATCATTGGAGTGGATTTGACAGGAAGATGACACCACCTGATCTTTGAGTTTTGAAGAGATCATCTTAGCTGTGACAGATCGAGGGCTTTGGAGGGAAAACAGAAATAGGCGTAGATCAGTCTTTCAGAGTATTAGAGACCCACAGAATTGAGTGACAGCTCCAACAGCATAGCTGTACAAGGATTCAAGAATCCTCTGTGTCCTAAAATTGGTGGATTGGATGTGGAAGATGAGAAGGGACTCAAGGAAAGTGGCACCGAGCCCAGGGAAAGAAATCTGTGGAGAACCTTTCAAGTGTTCTCGAATGAAGTTGAGCCTCAGGCAAAGTAAGGAGCGCTGTGGATCCAAGTACAGTGAAACTGCCCATGTGTTCCTAGAGATGACAATTGCAGACATGAGGACAGGTTAGGTTCCCTCTTTGGAGTCTGGAGAGAGCTTGAGCTACCGAACACTTATTTCATGTTCAGGGAGGGGAAGGAGAGAGTATTACTTTATTTTACCTTCAGTCGATTGTCTTACTTTCCACTTCATTACCATAAACAACACCTCACCCACCACAGCCTACTCCTAGCCTTCAGCTATCACCAAAGCATTCTCAAGGCACTGGAGGCTCAGGCCTGTAATCCTAGCTGCTCAGGCTCAGATCAGAAGATCAAGGTTCAACAACCCAGGAGAATCTTTTTTTTTTTTTTCCTCGGTTGTGAGGCTTGAACTCTGGGCCTGGGCGCTGCCCCTCAGCTCTTCAGCTCAAGGCAAGCACTCTACCACTTGAGCCACAGTGCCACTTCTGGTTTTCTGGTGATTAATTGGAGATAACTCTCACACACTTTCCTGCCCAGGCTGGCTTTGAACTGCAATCCTCAGATCTCAGCCTCCTGAGTAGGATTACAAGTATGAGCCTTGAGCAAAATAAAACAAAAAACAGCTCAGAGACAGTGCCCAGGCCCTAAATTCCAGCCCCAGGACCAGCATACACACAAACACATAAGCAAAGCATTCTGAGACACATGAAGAGGATAAGCAATGACTACCAACCTTCCCTGGCTCCACCCAGACCCACCCTCCCTCCCACAGCTTAATTCGAAGCCCAAACTGCTTTCATTTATCCACCCTCACAGTAAAAGCTTTCATTCAAGACTAGTCAAGTGTCTGAAGCCGTATTAAGCAAGAAGGATTTTAAAAATAGGTATCGACTGTTAAGGAATTAACAGTTTAAGCAACAATGAGCTCCTTATGAATACCTCACATACGTGGAGCTTTGGCTCCAGTGGTAGATTCCTCGCCTTGAGCACAAAAGCTGAAGGACGGTGCCCAGGCCCTGAGTTCAAGCCCCAGGACGGTCACACACACAGAAATTAAAATGTCCAGCTTTTCTATTTCATCCAGTCAGACTTTCTAGAATCTGCTTTACCTCCTCCTCATAAATTCCAGCCTCACCTCCCTCGCTTCCAACGGAGCTGTTACTTGTGGTTAGCCAGGTTATATAGAGATTCCTTTACCTGCATCTCGGGTCCTCCTGACCCCATGATGCCCAAGCTCCATTCTGTATGTTCAGCCATCTATTCTTCCCAAGAGTTCTCTTCCCACAATGCTGAACCGTGCTAAGGAAATTCAGATAAATATATTCATTGTCCCTACTGCAATAATTGTGCCATCGGCTCAGCACTGGTCCCATGCATCTGGAGGGAACTTTGTATTGTAACGGTTCCAGATGTTATCATGCATTAGAATCACCACATCCTCGGAGACGGATTCTGAAGACCTGAGATCCAATCGAGTCCAGGAATCTCCTAGATTCCACTCTTCAGGCAGCCACCACACACCTCTCTTCTGTGTCCCATCTTTTCTTTTCTTTTTTCTTTTTCTTTCCCAGTTCATTAGGGAAGCAAGACTCCATTGGTTATCATTCCTTTCAGGCTCCTCCTCTTCCTGAGAAAGTGGCTCTACTTTTATGTCTGTGTTCTCCTTGGTTCCCCTTCTTGCTAAACCCTGTCCCCTGTCCTTACTCCTTAATCTAAAGCTTTGTCCTAGCCCCTCAAGACCTTGGTCAATCAACAAGCTTCTCACATACATGACCAGTCTCTTTCCTACATCAACATTTCTCTCAGGGCCTGAAGCTCAAGGTCTCTTGGGTTGGGGTGGGGGGATTGTAGCTCTTCTGCCTTTTTTGGTGGGGGGGATGGAGGAGTCTCAGGGCTTGAATTCATGGCCTACACATTAGTCCTAAGCTTTGTTTGCTGAAGGCTAATGTTCTACCCCTTGAGCCACAGCTCCACTTCTGGCTTTTTGGTGGTTAACTGGAGAGAAGAGTCTCTTAGATTTGTCTCAACCTTGATCCTCAGGTCTCAGTCTCCTGAGTTGCTAGGATTGTAGGTGTGAGCCACCAACATTGGACTCTTCTACTTTTCTCTCCTTTCCCGTTGGGGAAATGATAGTCTTTCCCCCTTGAGTTTAGTGATCATATTTTAAAATGAATACAAAGAATTCAGAAATGTTTTAAGTGTATATTAAACTCTCTCACAGTCCTTGAATGCTGTGATTACAAATAACAAGCTAGAATCTATCCTTCTAGATTATTTTAATAGATTTATATAAAAACTCC